TCTGCAGTGTTGCAGGTGACTGCTTAAACAAGCAGGGAAATCAGTTTCCTTGATGCAAAGGCTGGTAATTAGCAGTTAGTCCTAATCAGCACACGTATCTGTTTGAAGTGCCCTTTCTCTTTGTAGACAACTGACTTTTTTTTTGCCTCTGGCAGCACCTTTAGATGTTTTCTTAATAAAAAACCTGATATATACTAGACTTTCAAATGGTGGCGGATGCCCTATCCCTTGAAACATTCAAGGTCAGGTTGGACGAGGCTCTGAGCAAAACGTTCAGATTGCAAAGACCGACAGCAGTCCATAGGCTGGATCAGATGCCACCAGCACTTGCAGCCCTCAACTTTGGAGGTGCTGTTACCCCTTGCATTGAAGAAATAATCCTGGCTTTTGTTCTGGTTGGACTTCTGCACCTTAATGGTTTTGTAAGTGTCTCTGATGGATGGAGGCTGCAGCTGAGAACGTGGTATTAGTTTTCCAGGCTGTGGGTCATCTTGGAAAGCTGCTCTAAGTGAAGAAACAAACATACTGCAGACCTATGGTGGGGAAGGTTGGGGAGTTACATCTTTAAGTGCCTCATATCTAGTTTTGAGCTGTAGCAGTGGCATGTAGTGGGAACAGCATCTTCGGACATCATTGAAACCTAGTCCCTGTTGCACGCCCCGCGTTGCAGGATGAGTGTGAGCACGTTGTGTGCTGGTGTGTGTGCATTGTGTGAGCTGTTTGCAGCAGGGAGGAGAACACTGATGCATGTCATAGTGGCGTATCAAGCCACGGTGGCAGCCCCGAGGCACACAGGAGCCACATAAGCCCCAGGAGGAGATGTCACAGCGCTGCTGTGCTGCAGCAGAGCTGGTATTCACCCATAACACTTCATTTTATCCAGGCTTTATTTCCATAATAATTCTCTTCTGTGCTGATGCTGCCAAAACTGACGGTATTTCAAGCAGCTGTGTTGCATACTGTACCTGCACAATGGCTAAACATTTCAGTATTTTTTATTTCATGCTGAATACAAACAAGTCCTGCTTGATTTTTACCATTTCTGCTCATTGAGCAGCCTGTTTGCTTCCAGCTGCTCCGTGGAGTTCATCTATTTTTCCCTGCTGGCACCAGCAGTTGGTTAACTTACACACCAAAGAAGGGAAAGTCTCTGTAGCCTTTATTTCTGAAGGCTTTTATTCCTGAAGTTGGAAAAGAAATGTCTGAACATGTATTTTCCACCAAAAAAAACGTCAGAAGAGAGACGTTACTGCAAACGCAGGAGCTTGAGTGGCCTTGCTGTCTTGCTTGGAAGCCAGCAGCTTTCATTTTATTTCGTTTTATTAATATAATACAACTCCAGAAGTTTTTCTGTGCCATGGATAACTCATCTGGCCCATTTTGTGTAGCAACGCATCAGCTGTTAGAGCAAAGTCTTGAGAAGCTTTGGAAAAACGTGACCTGGCAGAGCGGCTGCAATAGCAGTAAATGGCGTTGGCTGTGGTTTTAATCTCTAGGTTCAGTGTCTTTTGGAGAATGATGGCACTTTTTAAAAGACAAGCCAGAGGGATGAAAAAACACTCAGGATACAACATGAAAGGTAGTTTGTGATGAGACCTGAAGCCCACAGAGACTGTGGGTCTGGAGAGGTCCTTGGATGGGCTCCCCTGTGGGTTGGTCTCTGCCTCCTCCAGCCAGGCACACCCCAATAGCTGGTATGAAGACGTTATGAAAGAGGTCAAAGTTGGTAATGAGAGGTCTTAACTATGAATTTTAGATAGAAAAAAAACAGGTTACAAAATAATACCTTGTAGCAGTGCTGGCTGAGTGCCAAGTAATGTCTAATTCCTCTTTTTTTTTGAGCTTTATTGGCTTCATTCAACTGAAGAGTCTTTTTCAGACTGGTGTAGTTTTCATCTTCTGCCTTAAAGAAAAAAGAGAGGGGGAAATGTTTCCTGAAATGTGCCGCTTGGGCAGTAGCTGTCACACTGAAAAGGGTAAAAAGCAATAATTCTCAAGTAACTTCTACGCAGGTGCAGCTTTAAGCCAAGCCACCTTTGCGTTTGGAGAGACCTTGGTTGTCGCCTCTTTCTTCTGCTTCTCCCTCACCTCCGATGAAGATAGTCCATGCATCCGCACTTGCAGCTCACACCAAAGCTTCTCTGTCTGCTCCTTCCTTTGTAGCTGACATGAGTTTATGCGTTGCATCTTACTCATGGCCAACGTGGGATGTTCACTGCTGGAGCTCAGCAAGTGGTTGTCCACAAAGACAAAGGTGAAACTTCTCACCTATTTTGACTGGAGATAAGCCACGATAAATCACTGCCGTCACCTGTCCTGGGAACTGCTGTTACGAGCTTATCCAGCAGGCTTCTAATTTTGGTGCTCAGTCTTCCTTCCTCACTTTGGAGCTGGCACTGGTTGTCAGTGAACCACCATTGGGTTCATGTGTCTGGTGGCTCGTGCTACAAAAAGAGCTTTACCGCACACCCGTGGGGAGTTTAAAGGTGTGAGATCGGCGCCTTGGCAGCCCCGTGCCCGGTTCCTGCCAGCTGGCTGCCTGTGGGAGAGTCACCGGTGGCTTTGCCAAGACATGCAGAGGGCACGCTGCCATGACTTAGCAAGTCCTGGGTGAGATGGTACAGGCTGTCCACACCTGGGATGAGTCACCGGAACGCCGGCTCCGGGTTGTCGGCTGCTTGGGTGAGGTTGTGCCCGGTTCACAACCAGTATTTCTGCAATAACTGCCTTGATAGCTGGAGTGGTTGTAAGTTCCTCTTGCCTTCCTGCTGGCGGATGCCCAGGAGAGCGGTGGGGCTGGACAGGGGATGGATTAAAATGTATTATATGAATTGATCCCTGAAAAACATAAACACAGCTGGAAATTAGCTCGACAGTCGTCTCCTGCTGGAAGTGTCAGAAAGTTGTGGTTTGCACCAAAATGTTACATATTTGACTTGACTGAGGTTTTTTCCAAATCAATTATGTTGAACCTCGAAGGAATTAAGATGTAGGTGCCTAACAGTGGAGGAAAGTAATGGTGTGGTGTTACAGCATGTTTGTATTTTTGTTGAAGGTGTAAGTGTGGTATATGGCAATCACTTCGCCTCTGTCCTCATCTCTCGCTGGTATAAACTTGAACTGAGTATCTTAAACTGAAATGCATTTTTATGGTGTTTCCTGATGTCAGGGGAACTGCAAGGTGTAAATTTATTGTTGCATTCGTATATATTTTTGTGTGTCTGCATTCAGCTGTGATTTGTGAAAGCTGGGCAGAGTCTGGGAAGTTCAATTTGATCTTACTTAAAAGCACACTCAATTACATACTTACAGCTTAACCCAGTAGCTCTGATATTTTGGGACCTTGTGTCAAATCCTGCAGTGAAAACTCTCTCCTTCCCAAATTACAGGGGTGCTGGGTTTGCCATGTGCTGGTGATGCCCCAGGGAGCGGATCCGGGTGCCAGCAGATATTTGCCTGGAGGGATGTAGTTTCTCCTGAAAACAAGCTCCTCGTTTTGTCTTGGCCCTTTCCCTGCCTTGCAGCTCAAGCACATTAAACTGATTAATTATTGGGACGTATCTAGTAGGTAGCATGTCACGCACCCATGATGGGTAGGACTGGGTATTTTAAAATAGTTGCAATTGCTTGTGCAAGATTTTTTGTGTGAATGATTAATTTTGCAAGTAGAAAAAGGCATTTGGGTGAGTCTCGTGCTCTGTGCAAGGCTGAAAAGCTACATGAGGTGATGGACCCCCAACTTCCCCATGCAAAGTCCCATGCCCTGTAGGTATCTGGTGGTCTGTGCTGGTTCTGATGGCATCAGAGATGCTCCTGCCACCCAGCCCGGACACGGGGCATCAGTGGCTGCTCCCATCACAGCTGGAGAAGGGTTTGCATCAGCCCCTCGGTGCTGGGATAATGCTTCCCACTCCTGCACAGTATTTTCATACGTGCAGATAAAAAGGTCCAGTGTGTATTTGCTTGAATTTTGTTATCCTGGTGCTGGTACACCTGTGTCCTGTTGTAAGCAAATTCGGCGGGTGCTTGGAGAGGGCAAGGCTGCCTGAGCCCTGTGTTAACGAGCGAGTCCTTCTTAAAAACTACTTTGTTTTGCTAAGCTTCGGGAGCTGAACAAGCTTGACTTAGTGATGCCTACCAAGAATTGTTTTTAAACTCTTTATCCACTTTTTCTTACCCCTTGGTCCCAGAAGTACTGCTGCGCTTTGGAGCAGTGGCTTACAATTTGGCAGGATTTGGGGATGAATAGATGGTGTGAGGCTGATGTCAGAGACGTTCTTTGTATTATCATTGTCAAAAGTTTTAACCAGATGTTGGGAAATATGTGAGAATACTGATGCTCATATAATTGCGTAGGGAATCAAATGACTTCTGCTGTTTCCTAGTTTTAGGGTGCTTGATTTCACAACTTCAATATTTTTAATGTATTTTGAGCGTAGAGGAACCTTTCTGGGTGTCTGTGTTTTAGTAGCTCAACAGCAACTTGAGCAAGTTTCACAACTAATTGCCCGTGTTTTGTTGAGCAAAATCTGAAATGCTTGAGTGAAGGCGTTGGAGGGGAAAATTAAAGGTATAATACTAGAAACTGATACTTAGCCAATGCCTGTTAATAGTTCTCCAGATAAATGTCAAGCAGCAGAGGTTTGTTATTGCGACGTTATAAGGAATGGGCTTCTCAATGCTGGGCTACGTGCTCCAGACGTGAAGAAACCAGCAACGCTTCATGCAGGGGTTCATCTCCTGTTATCTCTGCAAGCCCTTGGAGATATTCTGGAGATATTCAGAGCATCCTTTGCGTTTTAGTTGAGATCTGTCAGAACTGTGCATTATTCACGGTCACTGTGTTAGAGTCCGGAATACATCCAGCATCCATAATGTAGGGGACAACAAAGTGAGGAAGCCGAAGGTATGTGAAGATGGAAGATTGTTTCGTGATGCAAACAAACTATTAACAAGAAAATGGATTAACTTACCAAAGCTTTTCCTCTCTGCTGCAACAGGGATGAGAAGAACCAGTCCATCATCGTGAGTGGGGAGTCGGGTGCTGGGAAGACGGTCTCTGCCAAATACACCATGCGCTTCTTTGCAACCGTCGGTGGTTCTGCCAGCAAGACCAATATTGAAGCCAAAGTCCTCGCGTCGAGCCCCATTATGGAGGTAAAAGCTGCATAATTTCCTTTGTGCTGCTTGTAGTGATCCCTGTGTCTCTCCAGACGACACAAAACCAGTGAGAGCTGTAGGAGCTTGTGAGCCAGACATGATTTGCAGCCTCACAGCAGCCCCAAGCTGTCTGAAAATACAGAAATATGCTGATAACCTCTGTTTGGTCTGGAAGCTGAGCCCGTGCATCCCCAGCACGGCTCCAGGAGCTGGGCTTTGGTGGGGCTCTGGAGGGGACAGCTTGAGCGGTGCTGCTGGCACCCTTACTCTTTTATCTTCTTCATCTTCTTCCTCCTCTTGCCTCCACATGGTACGGCCTGTTCTTCTTTAATTGTATGGGCTTGAAATAGAAGAGAAAGGGGTTACTTAATCTATTTGAGATATTTCAGTGCAGTTTTATTTTTGTTAATTTTCTGTTGCTATCTGTTCCATATAAAGGAATAACAAGTCCCTGCTCTAATGGAAAAAAATTCCCTTTTACAAATACAAAAGAAAGGGAAAGCTGCTTCATTTCATCGCACCATGACCAGATGGTGCAAATAAATATCTGAGTGCCTAAATCCCATTTTCCAAACAGATTTTGGAGCCCAAGTAACTTCATTTGCAAACTCTCCAAGTCAGTTTGAAGACAAGAGCAGTAACAAAAGCTGGCAGAGGATGCATGGTGATCTGCCGCAGCGTGGGCTTCACGCTGGTTTACTCCTTTCCTCACCCGTCTCCTGTGCCTCTGTGAAATGTAGCTGCAATACCTGGGAACGCTTAAAGGCATGCAAGGAGAAGTACATAGCGCACACTATTCTTCTGTATGACCCCATAATTTTATTGCTCTAATTTTCTTGCCTGTCTTCAATTCTGGATGCAATTTCTAAGTGCTGGGGCCAGGGAACTTGTCTGTCTTTATTGGAAAGAGCTGAGAACATTGCCCGCACAAAAAACGTGAGAGAGAACTGCCTGGTTTGCGAAAAAAAGTTTAAGTGTGGAGCTGGAATAGAGGCATGTGTGTGAAATAGCCCTTAGCAATGAGGCACACCGTGTTTGACGTACGGGACATGTGTCCCTGAGGCAGGTATCTCTACTTCATAGGCAAGGAATTGAAGATAAGCTGATGATGGTAATTCTGGATTGTAAAATACCTAGTTGTAGTGTTTGCTATAGCGGTTTGTGAACCTCTTCTTTCCCTGAGGGATAGGTGTTGGGATGGAGAGCGTGTGCTCTGCCCTGCTGCTTTTCCGGATGGTCTGGGATGTGTGCTGGAGGGTTGGAGGTGGGAAGTGGGGGCTGTGGGTCTGGGAGTGCCATAAGTGGAAGGGTGAGCTGTGGTAAAGGGGTAAAAAAATGGGCGTTGGGGAAAGGAGGTGCGGTAGCTGGCAGAGGAGTTGGGGGGGTGGTGGATGGTTGGGTCAGGGAGCAGGCAGAGCTTGCTGAGGTGACCTGCAAAGGAGAGCCTGGGAAAGGCAGCCAGCCTTGGAGAGGTGCACACGGGCTCTTTCCTGAACGTGCCTCTTCCCTTCCGTCGCTGCTTCTGTGTCTGCTGGAGGCTCATCGTCTCGGGACAGGGGAAGGGTAGTAGAAAGTAAGGCTGGTGTAGCCATGAAGGGGAGTATTGCCTTTCTCTGGACCTCTTGCATCACCACAAGTTGGTCCTTTGGCTGCTTGGTGGACTCCCATGATTGCAGTGCTGCACCCCTGATGTTTGCACGCGTGCTGGATTCTCTCCTCTCCCTTCTGCCACTGTGTGCGGCAGCATTGCCTGCCCGGGAGGTGACAGGTAGGGACTGGAGAGGCATGGAGGGGCTCTGGGCATGTCACCAAACCCACGGACCAAAGCCTCAACATCTGGAGATGGATTGCAGCTGGCTCCCTCCTTCTCGTAGGGCTTTGTCGCCCATGTCCCCTCCAGGAGAGCAGATGTCGGCTGTCGTTGAACGAAGGTGGGGGCATCCTATAAGGCAAAATAGGAGTGCTGTAGCTGTTGGGATGTGGATGATCTGATGACTGAAAATGTGGTGTTTTCGGCTTTTTTGTGGAAGAAAACCACACAGAAATAGAAATGAGCGTTTGTACAGTAACAGAGTCCTCCCCGAAGACACACTGCTGCTCTGCATTCATCAGCTCCCTGTGCTCTGCCTTCTGCATCTGGGAAGGGGTTTTCTTCAAATCCTCCCGTGACTGTTTATGTAACACTGATTACAAATTTAAATGTTTAAACAATTTAAAAAATTAAATTAAAAATTAATGTTTGATTTTGTTTTATGCAGGCAATTGGAAATGCTAAAACAACCAGGAATGACAACAGCAGTCGCTTTGGGAAATACATTCAGATCGGCTTTGATAAAAGATACCACATCATTGGTGCCAATATGAGGACATATCTGTTGGAAAAATCACGAGTTGTATTCCAGGTGAGGAGTTGTGCTATTTTTTTCTTCTTTTCTGTCTTTTGGGTGCTGTGCTCCTGGAATTTAATAGTCTTGGTCTTTTCTTTGGATTATTAAAAAAAAAAAAAAAAAAAAAACCCTTTAAATAAAGTAGCTTTCCTAGTGGTCACGGCTTCCAGACGTGTCTTTCAGGCTCAGTCTTTTGCAGTTGTTCTTGATAATCCCAACCTGGTGATCTCGTTCTGGAGGAATATGTACCCGGGAGACTCATTAGTTGGCCCCTGGTTGTTCCCGCCATCCGTCTGAGGCTGGAGCCCCGAGTAGGGACCGCTGCTCCTGGCCTGGCTGCTGGGCAGGGGTGGGAAGCCTTTCTCTGGGCAGCTGCTGAGATTCTTATTGAACCTCATAAAAAGGTTCAAATTGCAGGCAACAACTTTAAATTTTGAAGATGGGAGGGAGGCAGGAGAAGGGCTGAGGAAGCTGATGTCTCTGCCGTGGCATATCCTGTGGGTTTCTCGTGCAGGGCTCGGGACAAGCTTTCTTGGTTTGTGCTTGATATCTAGCTCAGAAGCACCTGAAAAACTTTTGTCCTCACACAAAAAAAACCCCAACTGCAAAAATTCTAAAACCAAACAATGTTGGGAATCCACAAGTGTAGGCCACCTCTCTTAATGTTGCTGTCGGTTTGCAACTCAGTGTGTATTAGCTAACCTAACTTAGGGATAAAGTGCGTAAGATAATATTATTTATTTCCTTTGTGAGACGGGCAATGTATTTTGGTCAGGGCAAGGCTTGGGGCCTCCTTTTTCCCAGGTGGCACAAGGTCCCCGTCGTCTTGGTGGCACCGAGGAGGTCTTGATGGTGGGAGTCCGGGGATGGGGTCAGGGTGGGCCCAGGCTCAGCAGGCACTGGGCGGAGGTGGGAGCGTTGCTGTAACTTCTTCTCACCTCTATTATCTCGGTATTTTTCCCCGTAGGCGGAAGATGAGCGCAACTACCACATCTTCTATCAGCTTTGTGCCTCTGCGAGTCTTCCAGAGTTCAAAGACCTTGGACTAAGTAAGTACTTCTGCCTCCCTGCTTGCCAGTGGTATGATGGCAACAGGAAAGCATTGTGGGGTTAGAAATGCAGGTCATCGATGAGGTTGTGTGCGCCTGGGGGAGGAGGTAGAGGCAGGTGAGCTTGAAGGGCTGCTTCTCCCCAGTGGTGCACCAGTTCGCTCATGCCATCTCCAGGGATGTGGCACCTTGGATGAGACACCAGCCCGCATCACCTCCGCCGTGCAGCAACTTGGTGCATAAGGTGCATGAAGTTTGTGCGGCGCTGGTCGGTGCTGTTAGGCTCCTGCAAGCGCTGCTGTGGCTGGAGGTTAGCCGTGGTGGGAGAAGCCTGTGTATTTTGTAGAATCTACGTGCTGAACCACAGTCAACCACCAGCTGTGGTAGATGCCAGCTGATGCCGGGAGATCATGTGTTAATATTGTAGGAAACTTGTGTAAAGATCTGTATTTCAAGTGAAGTATGAGTATGGGTTGATCTGGCCGGTGTCTTGAAGCTTTGTCCTTTGAATCTGCTATCTTTTTAGATTGACTGTCAATGGTTAACTCCCCAGATGCATCCCAAGTTGCAACAAAACCTCTGTAAGATGCCTGAATTAGAGTTTTTTCACTTGCAGCATGGGGTGCAGAGATTTGTTGTAATTAGTTTTTTTTTATCTTGAATATTTGCTGTTGCTTAAAAAGGGAAGCGAGGCTTAAAAGCACGCTTTTAAGTATTTAAAGTGGTGAGGAAGGCAGGTTGTGATCCCAACATAGAGCATCTTGCTGCTGCAGAGTCTCTCAGAGGTTTCCATCATGGCTCTAGAGGAGCTGTAGATCGAGAGACAGGCTTTCTGCTTCTGGGTAGTTCTGGGCTTGTGTTAATGACTTTTTTGATCAACTTCAGCACATTGGCCACAGTTACCAATCACGGGTGCTAAAATGGAAGCAGTCCTGTTCTTGTCCTGTTGTGACCAGTAAGCCTTGGTGCATCACCCAACTGTAGTCCGTACTCTGACCAGTGACACCAAACCAGACACCCACATCCATGAGTTTGCTTAGGGTGTAAGATAACTTCTGAGACTGTCTAGGCATAACCTTAATGTCTGTCCCAGGACGCCTGGGTGGGAGGTGAAGGTTTTGCATGATTCACTGTGCACCAGCCATAGTGTGAAACTTGGCTCTGTAAGTCAGGGCTTGAGGTGGACCTGGGGCTCCTTTTGGTCTCTGTGGGTCGCAAAGTGATGTTCCTCTGACAGTGGCTTCCCAGCTACCATCTAAGACCCTGTATTTGGTCCCATTGCGTGCTCACATGACCCCAGAGCACATCTCTTTGAGCACTTTCAAGAGTTTCTACTATGGGGTTATGCGCTTCATTTTTTCAAAGATACCCTGAGTAATGTTGTCCCCTGGGATCTTAAACTTCAGAAATAAATGATTTCACCCCAGTCTGGGAGACAAGTTGATGTGGGAGACCTCCAGCTGTGAAACCACCTTTCTCTTCTTGGGAACATGTGGATCAGAGGAAATCTCAGTCTTTTTCAACATAGCTCTTTAAAAGCCTGGTCTGTTTTTGTGGTGACTGGTAGTACTGAAGGCTGAGAGTGCTCTGCTCTCCTGACACATCATCCAGGACATCTTTATGCTGCTGTGACTGGCTCTCAGCTTCAGTGTCTCCTTTCCTATCAAAATTTGGTGTTGTCAGTGCCTGACAGTCTCCAGCTGTGCTTTTCCATTTGCTGTATCACAGGATGCGCAGGTATCTGCACAGCCTCCTGCTTGTGCATTTGGGTAAAATGCAACAATGGAAAAAGAAGCGATTGTCTCCAAAATTAAAGGTGTGTGTCTTTGGGGTTTTCTGCACCTTGCAATTGCTTGGAAATAGCCCCTGAAATGTTTTCCTGGCTGGCAGATGCGGCGCTGCTCATGCACTCGTCGGGGATGGCATCTGGGAGACAGTGACGTCTGCACTGCGAACTGTGCTCATCGGGGTCAACATGGCTCTGCCCTGTTGAATTAGCAGTGTTGGGCAGTTTTCTGTGAATGCAGATGTGCACAATTGACTTATTTTCCTTTCGAGGGATTTTTTTTTTTTTGTTACCAACTTTGCATCAGATTTACTAGCCTGTATCTCAAGATGACTAGTCAAAACTCAAACTTATTTCCTCATGTGAGCTGTACCTTACCTGTCAACCTTTTGTCCCCAAGCCAACTTTGCATCAGATTTACTAGCCTGTATCTCAAGATGACTAGTCAAAACTCAAACTTATTTCCTCATTTTTTCCTTTTTTTCCTTTTTTCCTCATATTTTCCTTTCGTCCCCAAGGCTTATACAAAGCAAGGGGTATCTTGATGTGCAAATCCACCTTTTTTTTTAGACAGAGAGGAGGATGTATATTTTTTCATATCAAAAGTAGGATCTGTTGTTTCTCCTTTGAGTCTTGCACATAGAAAGAATGGTTGTTACTCTTTTATGTTGCAAAATGCCAGAAAACAAAGAGAGCCTATAAACTTACGTGAGCCCAGCAGAGTAAACCAGTAAGTGTTGGCCCTTCAGGTTGGGCAATACTAAAAGTTGGATTTCAAACTAGAAAGTAAATACGTGACTTAAAACATGGGAGTTGGTGTGCAACGTGGCGCCCTTTTGACGTGCGGTGTCTAACGTAATGATGCCTGGGCCATGGCGTAAAGCAGGTATATGCTTTATTTGCAGTGAACCAAAGGGTTTTCTGTGGTTATTGAAATGATTGCACACATACTGAAATATAAATATTGGAGCTGGTTATAACAGAGATGACTCGAGGCAGGAGCATGTCCCAATGTGGATGGTTAAAACTGGTGCCAGACATCCTGGTCCCATCAACCATCTCCAGTCCTGGATGCATCTTGCAGGTGACATGCAGCAACATCAAGCTGTTGATGTGATGTGCTCCATCACGGGCTGGGTGTGCTCCCGTTGTGCTGTGGGGACCGGGATGGACATCGGGTCTCTGACCCCATTCAGCATTTTCTGCCCCTTGTTCCCAATGCTCCGGCAACGAGCAGAATCTGCAGCCTCTGGATTCCAGGGCTTTGTATGCCAAGAAGAATTAAATGTTTTTCTTACAACCTGAAAGTACAGCTAATGCAAAAGCCTGCGGGAGGTCTGGGAAGGGATGGGGACCTTCTGGTGGCAATGTGAGTCAAAAAAAGTGCAGATTGCAGTGTTTTTAAAGATTATCAGCAGGCCGATATGGAACACACAGTTGGCTGTTTTTCTCATCATTTTCATGATACTTCGGAAATATGTTTGTGAGTGTTAATGATGTTTCTTAGCTTTTCTTTGTGAGTGCCTTGTACCCGGTTCAAAACGAGTTGAAGCTGGTGCTGAGAACCGATCCTGGGTGGGATGGAGCCCCGGGGCCAAGCCTGCTCCTGCACTGCCGGGACTCAGCCTGGCAGCCTTGGGCACATATCTTAATCGTTTTGGCCTAAAATAAGTCCTCTTTTTTAAGGAAGGGTGCTGGCATGCGCAACTTTTTAAAGTGGGTATAAATCCCGTGATCTCTTCTTGTTGTATCTGCATTTGAAATGCCTCTCGGTCTCCATTGGATTTGGCTTTGCATCGTTCTGAAAGAACTTTGCTAAAGCATGGATGCTTAAATGGTGTAATGCTGGCACTGCAAGCGATCCTCCGTTCCCTTTGCTCCCTAGGTTTGAGGCATCATGTGGGAAAGGTGTTAAAATGACTGAATTGGTCATGAGTATGTAAAACAAGATAAAAAAACCTGAAAGTAGTAACCTCAGTATTTGAAGTAATATGCACCTGTGCAATAGAGCATTTATTCAAATCCCAAATATACCACAGCTCTGCCCCGGTTGAACTTGCTTTGTATGGGGAAGGGGCTTTATCACTGCAAGAAGTAGTCACAGTCACTTATCAAGGTGATGCTTCATCCATTTTTAAGTAAACTATGGTTCAAAGGAGACGGGTGCCCTTCGAGGATGGGGGACAGGGAGCATCCCAGTGCACGCCGTGACGGGTGAGTGCTGGTTGCTGATTTGTTTCTTCTCTTTCTTCTCCCCTAGCGTGTGCCGAAGACTTTTTCTACGCTTCTCAGGGAGGTGACACATCTATTGATGGCATGGATGATGCTGATGACTTTGAGAAAACCAGGCATGCCTTCACCCTGCTTGGTAAGGGGTTGCTCTGCTTGGAGGCTTCCCGGCAGAAGTCTCCTGCAAATGTTTTTCAGTATTTTGCCTGAATTATATGGCTCTCTTGTAACACTAAGAGGTATAAATCCATGTTCTTATTGACCTGGCTGGCTTTACTTTGTTCCTTAGTGTGAGCTGGAGCAGTGTTTCTTGCAGCTATCTGCGAAGTGGGAGTGAAATGGAGGAAGACACTGAATTTAAGAGAAACCTAAATAAACCATTCAGGAGTCAAATCTATGCTGCTATTTTTTACCCTATTTACAAGCAGGAAAACAGCTATTACTCTGCAGTTCAATCTGTATTTGGGTTGAGGGTGATATCACTTCTTGGAACATCACAGTATTGTACCGAATAGCTGATTCCTCAGAATAGTGAGCTGAGAACATCCCTGCTGTGCAGGGTCCGCATGGCCAGCTGCAAAATCTGCAGCTGCAACAACCACCCGTGCATGCTGCAGTTGAGCAGTGCAGTAACCTGCCTGCAGCACTGACTGTTTGAAAGATAAAACAGTTTTTGCAGGGGAAGATATTCCCAGTTTATTCATGTTTATCTGAAACCAGGTTTTTAAATCCTGGTAAGTCTTGGTGCCTCTCCATTGCATTTTATATATTGGGAGAGGAGCTCATGATGTTCACAGCCAGCTGTGAAATCCCCCTGAGCAGCTGTATCGCAGCCACTGGCTGTGGCAGCAACGAGCATGGGGACTCATTTCAGGAGCTATAATTGCAAGTGTTTCCCCAAAATTTGTCCTCTTTGTGTTTTAGGTGGGCTTGATGTCTCTCCTTTTTTCTTTCTTTTTTTTTTTTTTTTTTTTGGCATGACAGTGGAGTCTTGTCTTTACCCTGCTTTTGTCTGGCTGGTGTGACTTCTATTAACTACTCCACTGGTTAAAATATGACTCCACTGGTTGCTCCAAAATTGCCCAGGGAGCTCTCTCCCCACCTCCTTGCCATGTGTAGTTTCTTTTTTGTCCCCTTCTCTGTCTCCCTACTGGTCCCCATGAAGCACTGCGTGAGCATCTTCATCCGCTGCTAATTTGATGATGTTTTCGTGCTCTTCACATGCTTCCTCAGGCTCTGCCTTTCCTCATTTTTCTTCAGTGTTTCCCAGCACTGTCTGATTCTGTTCAGGGCCTGGTGAAATTTCTAGATATTTTCTAGTCTTGCCTTTTTTATATATAACAAGGAGAAGTCAGATTTATCTGCAAATCCCCACCCTAGCCAGGCTTAACTCCAATTAAGAGTGCCAAGTAACAGCAGAGCATTGCTCCTTTTAGTAACCTTGAAATGTTTCTTGCTGTGCTGATAACAGAAAAGTCCCAAGAGAGAGAAGGGGAAGCTCTTGATAATTCAAAAACCAGCAGGTGATGTCTCAGACCTTGGGTGGATAATTAGGACACCGGCACTGAACACAAAGGGAGCACAGAAACCCAGTTGGGATGTAAAAATGCAAGATACGGCAAGTAAGCTGTGTGCAGGCTGCTGCTGAGCAAAGCTCCTGCTGGGAATGCCTGCACAAGCATGCCAGAGAAAAAGATATAAAGCAATAATATATATCACCCCCAGTGAAGACCCACAACATATAGTTCCTGTTGAGACACTGGGGACCACAAGACAGAGCTGCACATCACCTCCCTGGTGACTTGCTGGATACAGCTGTAGCATCAGTCTGGAGGCGTTGTGCATCATGTGCATGGCTTTAATTTTCTCTTCTCTTTGTGGGACGCTGGCAATAAGTTGTAATTTCTGTGCTTCAGTTGTTGGCAAGATCTCACTGTTGGACTACGATTGCAGAGAAACAACTCCTTGTTCTATAAAAGCCGCAGAGCCTCTGTAGCTGTCATCTCGTTTGATCATTATGGAGTAGCATCCTTGGTTTTGTGCATGTTCGCAACAGTATTAAATCCATCTGTGATAAAATTGCTTTGATACAACCATTAGGGGTAAAGAAATAACACGAGGAGCTCCTCTCACAGTCTGCTCTCATTTTTGAGCATTTTGAGAGTTTATGATGAGTTTATTGGGAGAGGTCTGATAACTCTGAAAACCAACAGCCTGGGAAGCAAATCAAACACCACAGGCATTTTCAAATAAACTGAAAATTGCAGTTTCTTTTCTGTTGTGACAATCAGCTATCAATTGTTCCCGTAGGAGTGAAGGAGTCTCATCAGATGACCATTTTTAGGATAATTGCTGCCATTCTGCACCTAGGAAACTTGGAAATCCAAGCAGAACGAGACGGCGATGCCTGTAGTGTGTCGGTAGGTCACTAGCAAGAGTGGGGTGCATGGGGAGCTTTGCATGCTCATAAATCAGGATGCGTTGGATGTGTTGAGCTTCGCAGCAGTGTCCTTTGGTAGAAAGCCGTTTTTCTCCTGGTTTTCTTTGCTTTTTCTTTTTTTTTTTTTTAAAAAACACATCCTGATTTCCCGGTTGCTTTGTTTTTCCTGGAAGACAGTGCATTATTTCTCCTCTCTAGCCAGCCCGTAAGTGAGATGATTCAAAGGTTGCTTACCACCTTACGTCCCAGCCCATCTTTAACTCTGCTTTCTTAAAAGACTTGGTGCACAGAGTATTGGGGGAACAGTGACTCCCACCAGCAGAAGGTGTGATGATCTACAACCGCTTTGCTACAGGCAAAGCCACGAGGCTGCTGCTTGTAAGGTGGCCATCCAGTATTCAAAGGAACGCAGTTAATTAGCAAGAATAAATAAGACTGAAGATGCCTTAGTGGTGCTTTTTCTGTTTCTGTGTGTGTTTGGGGGGCGAGGGGGAAGTGATTATCCAGAAAATACCGTCCTGTCAATTATCAATGCATCCCAGACTGGGTCGTTTGTTCCTAATTAAAGTATTAAAACGGGTTCTGCACACTCTTTTAGTGGTACCCCAGAGGCTGGGGGTAATTTGCTTGCTATTTCACCACATGGATATGTAAAAGGGATCTGCTCCAGCAATGTTGAGTTCTTTAACAGAGCACGTGTTGTTTAATTACTTTCAAACGTAATTGCATGGTATTAAATCAATCCTGTTAAGACTTTGAATCCATGGTCAAAAAGATACCAGAGCAAAAAAGCATCCTAGACGACTTTTAAAATGCATTTTTCTCTCCATCCCCAAACCCATCCAGCTTCTATACAAGTATGTATCTAACTGGAAACACTTTACTTCCTTTAGATATGTATTATTACACTGAGGAAAGGGAAATTGATTTCTTAGTGTCCAAAAGGCAGTGCCCGCTATCTGTAATAGAGACTCAGAACTGCCTTGACTTAGTTTGAGGGGGGGAAAAAAATACAATGCGCTGGAGAAAGTGAAGCTGACATTTCATTTTATTGATTATGCAAAACACAACCCCCTTCTGGTAATGCACATTGTGCAGCTGTGTTATTCAAAGTGGAGTTATTTTGTAAAAGGCACAGTGTAATGGCATAGCCTAAGCTTTAACTTGAGGGTTAGTCAAGGTTGCTCTGATGGACTGTGTAGCTGCAGCACAAGGAGGAATAAAGTGGAGAGTGCTCTTTCCTGTTGGCAGTCACCATGGAAATCTGCTCTTTACGAAGATCGAGACCTTAAGGATAGCCCGAGCAGAGGAAAGCCGCAGGGTGTACCCCGTTCAGAGCTCTGTGTGAGCCGTTTCATCCGTGTCCATGCAGGCTGGTGCAACTGGAAGAGTGCTCATCACTTCTCTCATCAACCGCAGAGAAACACAGTATTTCCCTAAATAGTTACGAAATGCTGCTAATAGTTACGAAATGCTGCTAATTTCTTCCACTGATCTGGGAGCGTGGTGTTAGAACTCCAGTTTTGGAGTATCACCGACTTGCTAACGTTACTTCTCGTTCCGCCCCTCAGAGCGAGGACGAGCACTTGAACAACTTCTGCAGCTTGCTGGGAGTGGAGCAGAGCCAGATACAGCACTGGCTTTGCCATCGCAAGCTCATCACCACGGCCGAGACCTACGTGAAGAGCATGTCCGTGCAGCAAGTGGTGAACGCCCGGAACGCCCTGGCCAAGCACATCTATGCCCAGCTATTCAACTGGATCGTGCAGCACATCAACAAGGCCCTGCACACCACCGCCAAGCAGCACTCCTTCATCGGCGTGCTGGATATCTATGGGTAGGCACGCTTTCTGCTTTTAAGGCTGTGCCTTAAAAATGCTTTCTGATTTGTCTCGCTCTTCTGGCAGTGCACGCCTGACTTTGGCTTGTGGCAGGTGATGGGAATAATAGGAAGGGATGCAAAAAAGCGCAGTTGTGCGTGGTTTGCAGTTTTGATCCTCCTTTAGGTTGTGCAACCCTGACCCTGAAATGGTGCCCGCAGATCTGTTTGAGCGCTGGCGTTTGGGATTTACCTCCCATGCCATTCCAATTCAGGATTTCTGTCCACCGTGCTGTCTAAAGCATCAAGCTTAAAGATGAGCTAGGGGTAAAGGTGCTGATGTGGAGACCAAAAGCTGAGCTTGGCTCTGCCTGGAGTTGCTGTGGGGTTTGAGGGAACTACTTTTGTTCTTCAGCTGTGAAAGCACTGCTGCAGGGTCCTTGTGCAGCGAGGGCTTTCGGAGGGCTTTGGGAATGTGCGGTCAGGGGGTAAGGTGTAAAAAGCTCTGGCACAACCGAGGGCAAGGCTTGCAGCCTGCAACTTCAGGGTGAGAGTTGTAGCTGCTCCAGGAGCTGGACCCTGACCCAGTGCAGTCGCTGTGCTTGCTCAGTCCCAAATCGCGTGTCGTGGCAGACTCCTTGTAAGGTCTGTCAGATCTAGGTGAACCTGAAGTTCAGAATAAA